TTGCGCCCAATGGACATCACTTCGCCCACGCTCTTCATGGAGCTTCCGATGTGTTTGCTGACCCGCACGAACTTGGCCAAATCCCAGCGCGGAATCTTCACCACACAGTAATCCAATGAGGGCTCGAAGCAGGCCGTCGTGTTGCCCGTCACCGAGTTCTTAATCTCCGGCAGGGGCAGTCCCAAGGCCAGCTTGGCGGCCACATAGGCCAGTGGATAGCCGGTGGCCTTGCTGGCCAAAGCGGAGCTCCGCGACAGTCGGGCATTCACCTCGATGATGTAGTACTGCTCCGAGTGGGGACACAGGGCGTACTGGATATTGCACTCACCCACGACGCCAAAGTGACGGATCACCTTCAAGGCAGTGCTCCGAAGCATTTGGTACTCGCGATCCGAGAGGGTCTGCGATGGAGCCACCACAATGCTCTCGCCGGTGTGGATGCCCAGCGGATCAAAGTTCTCCATGTTGCAGACGGTGATGCAGTTGTCGTAGGCATCGCGCACCACCTCGTACTCCACCTCCTTCCAGCCTTTGAGGGATTTGTCCACGATCAGTTGGCTGGAGTGGGCCAGGGCCTGTTGGGCCAGGCTCTGGAGCTCCTGCTCGTTGTTGGCAAAGCCGGAGCCCAGTCCGCCCAGGGAGAAGGCGGCCCGAGCCATCACTGGATAGCCCAGTCGACTGGCCGCATCCAGGGCCTCCGCCACCGAGTAGACCGCCTCCGATGGGGCCACCTGTTCACCAATCTCATTCACCCGGTCGGCGAAGAGCTTGCGATCCTCCGTCTCGATAATCGATTGGATGGGCGTGCCCAGGATGCGCACGTTGTACTTGGCGAAGACACCAGCCCGTTCAAGTTCCACGCCGCAATTGAGTGCCGTCTGGCCTCCAAAGGTAAGGAGCACTCCATTCGGTCGCTCCGATTTGATCACCTGCTCCACGTAGTGCGGAGTGAGGGGCAGGAAGTAGCACTTGTCGGCCATTCCCTTGGAGGTCTGGACGGTGGCAATGTTTGGGTTGATCAGCACCGTCTGGATGTTTGACTCCCGCATGGCCTTGATGGCCTGCGAACCGGAGTAGTCGAACTCGCCGGCCTGACCAATGGACAGACCACCGGAGCCGAGGATCAGGACCTTGCGCGGCTTTGCCGGAGCTGGATCTTCGGCAATCCTGCTGGGACGCAATCGCTGCTCGATCAGCTGGGGAATGGTCACGTCCTTTTGGCTGATGCTCTCCAGGAAGACGTCGAACAGGAACTCCGTATCCTGCGGCCCGGCATGATGCTCCGGATGGAACTGGACCGAAAAGTAGGGCTTGGTAGCATGCACAATGCCCTCGTTGGTGCCATCGTTGGCATTCACAAACAGCTCCGACCAGCCGGCGGGCAACTGCTCCAGATCGACGGCATATCCGTGGTTCTGTGAGGTCATCAGGCAGCGCCCGGTTCCGCGGTGCAGGCAGGGCAGGTTGTGACCCCGATTGCCGTACTTCATCTTGTACGTGGAGCAGCCGATGGCCTTCGCCAGCAGCTGGTGACCCAGACAGATGCCGAACACGGGCTTTTGACCCTCCTCGATCACTTTGCGCACCTTTAAAATGGAGGATAAATTTGATTTAATAAGGGGTTTGTACTTTGGTTGGTTATATGGTATACCACTCCTTAGGCATACAGCTAAAAAAAATCTATTAATAAATTTGTTTAAAAATTTAGAACTTTAGCTAATAATCTGAAAAGTTTGCTGCTCAAAAAAAAACCTATCCATAACTTTCAATATTAAATGTAATAGTTTTAATTGTATTAAAATTTAAAAAAAGAATGCGGGTTCAAATCCCACTACTATCTAAGATTTTTTTTATATTTTTTAAGTTTCACAAACATTATTTTTAAATTTAATTAAAGAATTTCTATTCCTACTAGTAAATTAAAAAATAAAATATATTATCTTAAAAGTTCTAGAATGTTCCCAAGTTATGCTTAAAATTTGAAAAAAGAAATTTAGTTTAAAACACAGCACTTAACAATTAGAATATTATAATGTAAACGAGCGGATCGTCCTATTTCCTATTGATTTTGAACTACACGGGCTCCCAAGCCAATCCCACTTTGACCCACCTGTTGGACGATCTCGTCGCAGCTCTCCGGGTCACCGGGACCGTTGGACAGGAAGAGGGCGTCGAACTGCTCCTCCTCGAGGCGGGCGCTCCAGGGCAGCAGGGTCACCGAGGCGCCTCGCTGCAGCAGGCAGCGCAGCTGGTTGAGCTTCAGGCCGCAGTCCAGGATGGCTATCCGGGGTCCCTTGCCCTTGGGATCCCCGTACACTTGTCGCTCCTTCACGCTGCATTCCAAGGCCAAGTTTCTGGTGTTCGGGTCGATGAAACTGGACTTCTCCAACCCTTCAACCGGCGGCTTCTCGTACACAATCCTGCCCAGCATGCTGCCCTGTTCCCTGAGCTTTTTGGTCAGGGCACGGGTATCGATGCCACTGATTCCGGGCACCTTGTGCTGCTTCAGCCACTCGGGCAGAGTCTTCCACTTGCGCCAATGCCAGGCCGCATCGGCCACCTCGCCGACCACCAAGGCGGTGGCCTGGACGACGCCCTTCATCCACTCAAAGTGCAGCGGCAATCCGTGCTCGTCCTCGTCCGGAGCCGGAACTCCATAGTTGCCGATCAGAGGGTAGGTCAGGACCAGGATCTGGCCGCTGTACGAGCGATCCGTCAGCGCCTCCGTGTAGCCGACCATGCCCGTTTGGAAGACCACCTCGCCACCGACTCCTCCTCCGGACGTGTCCTTGGGAACGTGGCCAAAGGAGTAGCCCGGCATCACGGTGCCATCCTCCAGCGCCAGGAAACAGTTCGCAGCGGGCATCTTGGATGGGTTGCTGGGGAAGATCAGAGAGTAAATCAGAGGGGTTAAGGATCATTGGGTCACCATGTTTCAGGTGTGGGTCACCTCAATAGGAAAGTGGGGTCACCAAAACATAAGTTCAAGACATGATAACACATATTTCACCTTATTTTATCAAACAATTATTATTTAATATATAAAAAATAATATATAAACAATTAATTAAAAAAGAAAAAAAGTAAAAATTTAAAATTTTAGTTTAGAACAATGAATCTTCGTATATAAAAGTAGTAAGGAAAATTGCCGTTTTAATTTACAAATTTAATTTTTTAATGTTAAGTGTTTTACTGCAAAGACAATAAGAAGTTGAAAATGTTCAACGCAAATTGAAATATTATTGTTACCAAGAGGAATATTTAAAACAAAAAAGTAAGAGATATCCACATACGTACTTTTCGTTATCGTATTTAATGTGAAAACATAAACAAGAAAAATTGATTATCAAAGAGGCATCATATCACTTGAAAGGAAGGGAGTAAACAAAATATGAAGACCGAAACCTGATAGCGATATACTCATCGACGACTTTAATTAATGAGTATAGGCCTGAAAATAGACGGGTATTGTTGGCAAGCAACAAAAAAAGCAGTTAACATACCAAAAATTGGGACACACCATTGATTTCTAAAGTTGATCGGTAAATTATTTTCAAAAATAGCATTAAAGAGACTAGAAAAAATGTTATAAAAAAAGCCACGATTCTTTTGTTAAGTTTTACTAGACTTCAAGAAACTTGAGGTATCTGAACCAGAAAAAATGTACTATATAGTAACAAGAATTTAGGATTCCATAATTTGAAGCAAACTGCAAAATGAAAATCTTACCATTAAATTAAATTTAAATTTAAAAACTTCACAATACATTATATACTTTTTTTTTTTAAATATACTTTACAGATACCGAATATACTTTATGATTTTACAATTCCAGGGTACCAAGATATCAAATACGCCGTAAAAGCAACATGTGTTTTTTACACACACATACACAGTTTGCCGGCATTTACATAAGCAAAAGTATTTAACAAAACCAATAAGAAATCGTGCGTTGGTTAGTAGTTTTATGTGTGTACGTTTGAATATGCCCGTCTGGCAACATGTTGCGCGGGGTACAATACGATTCTGATTGGGAATGGACGGCGCTTATCAAGTGGCTTAATTTGTTGTTATTGCGATTCACGTTTGTTTACACAGATAAAAGAAGAGCGACTCGGCGAGTGTGTGTGTGTGCGTAAGCACGTGTGAAGTTCAGTTTGGTAGTTCCAATTGGAAACCGGTTTGCCAACGTGTGCGCGAATAACAATAACAATTGCTTAAAGCTGAAGTTCAGATGGTTCATTATGATATTATTTTCTAAGGCGCACTTGCATTCGCACATTCAATTCAATCTGTATCCTTTCGCACGCACCTTACTATTACAATCACACTTACAATTCCTCGTACTTTCAAGCTCTCGCTCTCTCTCACACTCAGCTGCACTGGTAGTTGTGAACACGTTTTAGTTTTGATTTAAACGCGCCGTTTGCTGTTTGCTTCGCGATTCCGTTATCAGAGCTGGCCAATTACGCACTGCTCCAATGTGGCTAAACATTTAACAATGTTTGCTTGCAAATTGGCTCCAATTAACGGAGTGGCAAATCAAAGTCAACCGAATTCACCGCCTTATTAAATCGGACTCAGTGTCTTTTAAATCCTAAATAATGCCACCGCACAAGTTTAGCTGGCAGGTGGAGAACTTTGCTAGGGGGAACTCTAATCCAAGGTTGACGAATGTGATAGTACTTCACCACGGCAGTTAGTACATTAACTTATTTTGACCCTTCGGACAACCGATACACCTTTGCTAGTAATTCACCATAGTAGTTAGTACACCTACCTTTTAAACCCTGCGGACAGACGAAACACCACAATGGCTTAGCGGAGACACTATTTGTGACTTCGATAGTAATTCACCACGGTAGTTGGTACACGAACCCTTTATTAACTCACCATGGTATAGTAACTCACCATTATAGTTAGTACACCAGCCTTTTAGACCGTCCGAATAGCCGATACACCCTCCTGGCTGTGAATTTTTCGAATTTAAATTCCCTCGCTAAATAGAGGCGGGCGACTTGCCGATACTCGAGATACTTTACCCGATACTTATGCGATAGTAGAATGCCCATCTCCAACCGGCAGCTAACATTGTTTTACAAAACAAATAGAATCTTCAAATAAAAGGTGAGCTGTTTTTCCAAGATTTAACGAAATACTCTTGCTGATAATTGACGCTCACCCTAGAACCAGTTAGAATGCAGTGGGCGGGACTCTGTCTGCTGGCCGTGGCCGCGTTGTGCTCGGCGGTACCGCGGGCTTCCCTGGACGCGGACACTGCTTTCCTGACGCCCGGCACCACCATAAATGTCACGGAGAACGCCTACGGATCGAAGACCCTGCGCACCTACTGCTACCCAGGCAAGCGCTACTCCGTGCTTAATCTTTTCGAGACAGTGGAGTTCCTTCTGGCGATTGGCAGCGAGGACTATGCCCAATACGGCGGCAAATCGCCGGCGGAGGTCTTGGAGCACTACAACGAGCAGCGGTCGCTGTTCAGCATCACCCTGTTCTCCCAGAAACGTCAGCGCATCCAGCTCTCGCCCTTTGAGCAGCAGTGCATTGGGATCTCTTCCAGGCAGCCGTACAGTGTCATCCTGAACACCATCCAGTTGGATCTGTGGCGCTTCGTCCAGTTCTCAGTCGGCCTGCTGGCCTTCTGGAGCGCCCGTCGGCTGGCCAAGAACAGTGCATTCTACTACCTGGCCGGCGTTGTCGTTGGCATCTGCGCTTCCCTGTTGGTGGTCATCTATTTGGCCGCCAAGCTCTTCCCACGCCGTCCCATGATGTATGGCGTCCTGATCGGCGGTTGGACCATTGGATTCTATGTTCTCAAGCAGCTGGCGGACAACCTGCGACTGATCCTGCTCACCTACCGCGACCATGTGGTGTGGTACCTGGTGGTCACCGGACTGATCTCGTTCCTGGTGCGTATTTGATTGGTTTTGAAGTCTCTTCAACAAGAATTCAACCTTACTGTATAGATTAACAGTAGCATAACTAACTAATCCCTTTTTGTATCCTTCCCGCCAGATTTGCTATCGCATTGGTCCGCCCAAGAATCCCCGCTCCCAGAACATCATCATGTGGGTGCTGCAGGCGATGGGCGGTGTCCTGGTTTACTTCAGCAGTTGGCACACGAGCGCTTTGATCTTCATAATGGTGGTGGCCTTTGTGGCCCACTACTTCCCCCCTTCATGGGTGCGTTACGCCAAGATGATGTACCGCCGCCGCTTTCCGCCCAAACGGCGACTGCTCACCCAAGAAGAGTACCAACAGCAGACGGCCATCGAGACCTCGAAATCCCTATCGGAACTAAGGAAGTTCGTCAACAGCCCGGAGTGCAAGCAGTGGACCGTGATCAGCAACCTACGCAATCCCATGCGTTTCGCCTCGTTTGCCAATGGAGCACCGCATCTGGACGACGAGGAGATCGAGGATTACTCGCGGGCCATTGAGGAATCCATGGAGGCGTCACCGCAAGAAGATCCCGAGGAGTTCCTGCAGTGCAGCATGTACTATCGTCCATCGGCGGGCCGCAGTTTGCTCAATCGTTCTCGCCACCGAGTCAATATACCACTGCCGAATTCCCAGTTTCGCAATCGACTGGCCGCTCGCGAGTCGGAGGGCGAGGAGAGCGAGGATGAGTTCTTGGAACAGGAACAGGCATTGCAGTAGCCCACCAGCTAAACCAAAAACCCATTAGGCTAAGTTCAGACCATCGCAGTGTGTTTTGTCTCGTACCAACTTCCCATCATCTTCTTATTTTGTTCGTTTTCAAATGTAATTAGTTGGTTCAACACTTTTTGTATGTTAAGTTCCATTTTCCTAAAGTTTTTTTGTTCATTACGTGTTCTGACTGGACTGAAACGCACTGTACTTACTCATTTAAAACCCATTTTCTATATGACTGGTTAGGAATTAAACAAAATTATTAATTGTACAAGATCATGTGTCTTTATTTCCATTCAGACCTTTCGATATAGATTAAGGTACACAAACTGCCGCCATCTCGCTCATTTTGGAGGAGCGCAATTGATCGGCAGCCACTGACAAGCCTCCGATGGAGGCGTGTGCATCTGTCCAGGCAGCATCTTCACCAGCCGGCGCTCGTCGTCGTGTTTTTCGGCGGCGCAGAGCGTGAGATCGCGCTGCCGGAAGATGAGGGCGTCCTCCACGTAGGCAATGGTCCAGAAACTTGTCGACGAACTTGGACTGCCGGACCGCAGGGCCCCCAAGCGATTGCCGTCGGAGGGATCCACAAAGAAGTACCATTTAAAGAGTTCGCCGCGCAGTGTGAAGACTGGCGTGGTGTGCTGTTCCTGGACAAAGGCACGTATCAGGCCGGCGGAATCTGTGTAGTTCTGCTCGTGCCAGGCGAAGACTTGTCTGCCATTGAGCCCATAGTTCCATTCATCTGTTATCGTGATGTATATGTACTCGCGATCGGAGCGACTCAGCAGGCAGAAGCCCTGCGGATGGAAGAGCAGAGCCAGGACGGGTGGCAGGTTCTTGCCCAACGCCTCCACTCGCTTCTGGAGACCCGCATCCACGCTGGCGTACATGTGATGGGTCCTTATCTTGCTGACCATATGGGCCATGTTGAACAAGAACGCCTCGCTGCTGTCCTGCATGGCCTGATACCGCCAGAACAGCACCAGCTCCGCCTCGATCATCATCCGGAAGCTCACCTCATCGCGATCTGCGAAGAGTTGCTCCAGCTGCTGGACCAGCTTATCCGGTGGCCGATAGAAGTACACATCCTCGATGGCGTGCACCAGGATATCCCTGACCAGGGCGGGCTCAACGCTGGCCGCTATATACATGCCGTACATCTGGATGCTCTCCTCGGCGTTCAGGAGATTGGCCAGCCGCTGGGCCATGAGGCTCCTCAGGTGGCGTCTCACCTCCTGCTGCAGCTCACAGGCGGACCGACCCGTGGCTCCACTGGTGCACTGCATCTCATCGCGGATGAAGAGGCCCAGCTGGCTGTATAGGCCCTTGACCTTGTCCGTGTCCGTGGCGAAGTCGGAGCGAATGGCGCCCCAGATGCTCTGGAACACCTGGAGCTTGTCCCCGCGATTGGCACTCCGCCGGATGGTCAACTGAAAGGGAAGAAAGTGTTGACTTAAAAATATATTTGAAAAATTTGTTATTATAAAATATAAATATTAATGTTTCTATTGATTTTTAGAACTAGGTAGTCACTTTTCTCAAAAAAGTTCGATTACTTCATATGATCATTGATCACTTTTACATATATACATATGTATGTATATTTTAAATGGATCTGATATTGGAAATTAAGGTATAATAAAAAATACAAATAGATTTTTTGGTACGAAATCATAAGTCTCCGCTTTTATGATAATAATAACACATTGATCCTTTAATACTATATAATAAGATTGATATTTTAAGGCACAAGCAAATCTGTATTCTCTCAAGATTACAAATTGATGCAATGATATGATCTCATTCGTCTCATTCCGAAATCGGATATTATAAATACTTCATGTTACACATCATTATACCATATAAATTGGTTTATAAACAAACCTGAATGTCGTCCAAATCTGGTTCCAGGGGCAGAACGTCGCCCAGAGCCAGTGGAACACAGAGGAGGAGCAGCAGGTGCATCGCGCCGAACGATTGTTTGTCTACTGATGTGGAGGATTGGATTGTGGCCCCCATTGCCTTATCGGCTCCCGGCGAGAGGTCAGCGCAGGTCCATCTTGATTTGCTTGGGACTATCGTCGCTGGGATTCTCCTGCAGTGGTCGTTTCTGCCCCACCATGGCCACCGATTTGATGCGCTGCGTCAACTGTTCCATTTCCATGGGAATGGGATTGGTATTGGGGTGGGCACCCCGATCGCGTGGTTCCCGCTCTCTCCTAGGTCTGGGGATCACAAATCTGCGGTAGATATCCTCCAACCGATCCAACGGCAGACCTTCCACATCGGGCAGATATATCTGCCTCTGTAATATAACCATGGATTTTACTAGTCCAACACCTTTCTTTAAATAAAGAAGTCACCTTTTTGAGTTCCTTCATCATATCATCTCTGGTTAAATCCAAATCCATTTTTCTGCTTAATAGTTTTGTTTAAAATATTATGATTACACTATAAACAAACGACCATATGAGAGGTCCCCTATCTTATCGTAAGAGCGATGGGAATCCAAATTTGAGACTTGCACACGATATATCGATATTTTACTTTTTGAACATTATAAATAAAATAATAAATAAAATGTTAATTAAAAAAACCGTATATTTATAAATAAAATCTTAACATCGTGTGAAAAAGGTATTACCATTAGTAAAGTAATCCAGTATAGCTGAAAACTGGTAAAAAAAATCCTTTCGGGTAGATTCTATTGGTTCTTTTACTTCCTTTATAATAATTTTGCGAGTCAATCACGATTGTAAATGCACCACATAAGTTGTTTTTATCTTTATTTGAAATTGATTTTTAGCAATCGCTATGTTTATATATAATTTTTCGACTATAATTTCATTTAAATATTATGGTTGTTGCGTGAAGGCTTAATCGATTAATTTAAAATAAATTCATTAACAATTCGTTTCAACAAAATAGGTTTTGTTCATAGATATATTTGATAATACGTAATTAGCATAAATAATTGGAACTTACTGAAAGTCGATTCATGGAAATTCAGTGCCAAAACCTCCAGCGGTTTGTCCTACACATACATATGTATACATATCAATTTATATATATCGCCCGATCTGATATATATTCTTACAATACAAATGGTATAAGTTCTTTACACATAATTAAAGCAAACTTGCTCATAATTCGCTTATTTCCGGTTTGCTCTTCAGAGCCCAAAACAAAACCGAATGATACAAATCAAGGTGAATCCTTTAAAATAAATAAAACCATTTCTTGGGTCTGTCTATGTCTTTCTCTGTAACGGTTCCTCTATGTGCCTCTGTGGGTTCTTGATCTTTTCCATTAAAAATTTACTTGCGTTACGTTTTTGAAACTCCTTAAACTTTGGTATAATATCGTTATCGTATTGATCAATAGCTAATTTCTCAAGATAGATGTGTTTCACTAAATCGTTAGTCCTAAAAGAAATCGTTACTTTTAGCTACAAAATTGAAAAAGGCTGTGATGTCTGAAGTTCTTTTTTTTTTGTCCGATTTCTTTGTGCTTCGGGGAGTCGTTGTCTTATTTTTTGGTTGTTTTATCTTGTAAATCCAATGTGGTTTCTAAAAAGTCTGTGCTAGCTTATGAACAAAGTCGATTTGGTTGCAGCTGCTCCAGGATGTCTCTGGGTCACCATGTGGGTCCTATATATTAGGTAGATGCATATATCGCGGTGCAAAATTGAACACGTTCCCCGTCCCGTTCCCTAGACGTCGATCACGCTGTCGTTCTTCTTCATCTCCATGAGATGGGTCTGCTTGAGCTTCTCCTGCATCTGGGTGAGCATGTCCTGCATCCTCCGTATCTCCTCGTCCTTCTGCAGGAGCAGCCTGTCCGTTTCCGAGATGGCCGCATCGAATCCGTTGGTCGAGCTAATCGAGTCCCGCTTCAATTTCCCACGCTCACGGAGCGCGTGCTGCGAAATCTGTGAGATGCACTGCGCCCGGAAGTTCTCGTAGTGCACGTCCTGAAAAATTACAAAGTTATAGATTAGTATAATTCAGTGTCAAGACAGAATACCCTTATCGATCTGATAAGTATACATACAATCCCATGTTTTTAAAATCTATCGTTTTTGAAGGGCTAGGTTTTTGAAATACCTACACTTTCATATTGGAATTACATATTTCCTAAAAAATATTTTTGGAAAATAACTTAGAACAAAAAAGTTGGAGTTTGTGAGTCTATTCTATTTACAACTGTTAAGAAATATAAATTACTTTTTTATCTAAATTAAATTATTTTGTAGAGTTTTAGATATTGTAAAAATAATACGTTAGGATAGTCTTAAAAACCTAATGAAATTGACTTTGGCATGTGACAAATAAGTCATTGGGCTTAAGTACAAACATAGATCCCCAACCCACCTGCGTGGTGTCCTTGAGGTCCTGCATGTGCGTGGATATCAAGAAGGTGCGCAGCTTGATGAAGTCGCTGTGCTCCGGGTCCTCCACGTTGACCACGCCCCACGGATACTGACGACCCCGCACCTTCTTGCCGGCCACCTCCAAAATGGTATTGCTGCCGACCACGGCGAACGGGATGGAGGCCTTCAGCTCGCGATCCTGCTGCTTGAAGTCGTCGTCCTCGTCGGAATCGCACTCGGGGAACTGGTACAGCTGGATGTGGTTGTCCTCCAGGTCCTGCAGGATGCGCTCCTTCAGCTTGCGCACCTCCTGCTTGTTGAGACAGTCGGCCTTGCCGATCACCAGCACGATGTTCACCTTGCGGTGCAGCCGTCGGATCAAGTCGAGGTCCATCTGTCGCAGGCTGAAAGGATTAAGCAGGATTTTAGTCAACCACTTAAAAACTCATATATATTTTTATTTTTATTAAAATTAAAAATGATCGAAAGGAAACTTATATCAACAAAAATCAAAATAATATCAAATATTTAGATTGTTACGGAGCTTTAAAGCTATGTTGCGAAACCACACATAATAATATCTACATTTAATATATATAATCAAATCCCAAGTAAACATATCATTTCCGTTAAAATACTATTATCTGCATTCCATGCCGCACCAAAATTTGTTTAAATGATAAAACTTTTTATTATGACATATACACACATAGGTCATATACATATTATTCAGTAGCATTACCCAATAATCAAGAGGCAACAGATTCTAGTAAAAATACTTGTTACGCATGAAGAATTCCTCAAATGGGCTCGATTTTAATCGTATTTAAGCACATGTATTATTTTTTAATGACACATGCTGGAATCTCAATTGTAATATTTAAATATTTTTAAATAAAATAAGTGTTACTCATTTTAAGATTTGTAAACTAAAGTCATAATAAGATAACAACAAAACAGCTTCAACATTTCTTTAAGACTGAATTTATTTTTAAATAATTATTTAAGTAATGACACACAGTGGAAGCGATATTGAAGAACAAAAGAAATATAAAACTGAAAAATATCTAATATTAACTAACAATATCTTCGATCCTAAAATAATTTTTCCATTGTAAGATAAATTTAAGGCTTTCCAATTTATAAGAATTAAATGAAATGTATTCGACAACAAATTTAAACACATCCCATTTAGCGAGACCCACCTGTGGCCCCATGGCGGGACGAAGTAGAGGCAGCAGTGCACCCGGTTATCCTGGATGTTGCGTCGATTGAGTCCGCTCTCGTCGGTGAAGTACTGGCGGAACTGCTCGTCGATGTACTGGGTGCACACCCGCCAGCTGTCCTCGCAGTTGATGGCATCCCCGAATCCCGGGGTGTCCACCACCGTCAGCCGAAGTCGGACGCCCCGCTCCTCGATGTCCATTGTCTTCTTCTCCACCTTCGTCGTCTTCTCGATCCGCTCCTCCACATTGGGCATCTGCCGGTTCTTGTAAAGATCCCCCAGGAAGAGGCTGTTGATCAGGGTGGACTTGCCCAGCCCCGACTCGCCGACCACCATCAGGGTGAACTCGAAGCCCCGCTTCACCGACTTCCGGTGCACTTGCTCTGGTAGGGTGGCGAAGCCTATGTAATCCCGATCCTTGTCGAACGAGGGCGTTTTAGCTGCAAGGGAACACAAATACACAGTGATTTTAGTCGAAATGAATTTGTAAACGGTATAGATTTTCATGATATATAAGTCAAATAGATAGTTTCAGATTGGTTAATATCTTTATATCTATGAAATATAATTTTCGATTATAAAATAAAAGAAATTTGTAATGGAAACATATTCAAAACAATACTTACATTTAAATCAATATAATAATAATAATAAATAATTAAAGAGAAAATCAATAACTAAGGTATGACCTAAAACAGATGGTGCAGTAATAAGAATTCCCAACGATTGTTAAATAAAATGGAATCCTTAAGCTCAAATCTTTTTTCCTGTGTGGTAACTAAGGAGTGAGAACACAAAACGGGCTAATCGACTGAAGGACCTTGCACTTGGGTCTTGAATCTCGGTTCTTGAGCGACTTCATCGCCGTCTCATTAGGCAAACGAATTGGTGGAATGGCTTTCGAGTGAAGGGGTTACAGAACTGGTAGGTGGGAATCCCCCATCTGCGACCCCTAAAGTTGTTCCTTACACATGTTCCTGCCGCTTGAGTGTCCTGGTCTCTGGTCCTCGTCCTCGTAACTCCCGACTCCTGCCCCCTAAGTCTCCCCTTCCCGCCGAGTTTCGTGTGTATACGGAACGCCTACTTAAAACGTAATTGGCCCAAGCCTCGCCACTTTTTCTGCCTTCCGGGTTTTCACTTTATCTTCCTGTTTATCAGCAAATTTGCCACATTGTTGGATTGTTTGGTTGTTTGGCAGTGAATATATCTTTCTTTATTTTCGTTTTCGTTTTCGGTTTAGAGTCTGTAGTTGTTTGTTATTTGTTTGGTCGTTGAAAAAATAAATCCCCGAGTTTGATGAACACTTTATTGTATTGTGGTGGAGCTGCAACTGGCGAGCGAACTGCCCTAAAACCATCCAAAATTAATGGGCTCTCGTATGCTTAGCTCTCTCGCTCTCTCTTCCTCCCGCCCATATGCCACGCCCCCCTCTCCCACGCACTGTCCTTTTTCGAGGACGTGTTAGATGAAGTGGCAACACCGAAATGCAACTTTCCCCCGTACTATCACCCTCTATTCGCGTTCTCTCGGCGCCTGCGCTCGAGGACCTGGCCCAAACTAGCGGAAGCCCGGTAAAAAGTGGGCCAGATGTTATGGGGCTTTTTGGTCAAAATGGGCGGTAAACGGCGTTGCCGGATGGTTACGCAAAGTTCTTGTTTTTCTCAAAGTTTTCATGGCTTCAGTAAAATTTCCAAGATGATTTTTGAAAACTCTTACAGTCTAAAAGTCTGTTATACAAAAAGTCGGCCAAATATTCAATTCGTATTAGTCAAAATGTTGTTAGATACAGTGCAGTGTTGCCAAATAGTTTAAAAAAATGCTTGAACTTCCAAATTTTGTTGTGATTGTTCAAAACAAATTTACCAAGTCATAAAAAAAATTAAGCAGCTAAATTTTGCAAATTTTCTAGTAATTTTAAAAAAAAAGGATATGGTTTCAAATGGTTGTAAAATAGTTGACAAAAAAACTCAATATCTGCTTTAGAAAAATCCGAAACTTTTTACTAGATTAGGTTGAAATTCTTAAGACACTTTTGTGAAAACGCCTTTCAACCTGCCGTTAATTAAAAAAGGAAGCGACTTAAAACTTTCCCAAACAATGGAGTATAATATCAAGGGGTATTTTGCAATAATTTGCCGTGTTATCTTCGTTCACAGCTCAGGTTTCCTAAAAAAAAAGAAAACAATTCACCCTGGACAGTCTGGGTACTTCCCTTTCCCGCTTCCCGAGATATGGTAGCACTGGTTGAGGGCCCCACCCCCGTGGATCGACTAACCACCCACCCCTCGAGCTTCCGAGTTCCTAAGGGTGTCATCAGCGGGGAGACAGGCGGTTCATTGTTCCCGCTCACGTTTTCCATTTAATCGAGTTTGAAACGCGCTCAGCTGGCAAGGCCACGGGGAGTTGGAATGCGGTGCATCCTACAGGGTGATACAGTGCAACTCGAGTACAACCCCTCAGTCAGAACCCAACCCCAGTCCTTAGAACAACTTTACACTTCCTGGGGCATTTCAAAATTGTTCAAAGAAAATATTTATTTAAATACGTATAATTGGCTAACCGTTTTATTTGAAAAACAGAGTCTAAATTGACTAAGAGATGGTTTTTGATGCAATTTTTTTGTAATATATGCACATATAAAAAAAAAAAAAAAAAAAAAAAAAAAAAAAAATACGTATTACGTATTATGGAATAAAGTGTAAAACCGCCTTAAAGCAAACCCCTCGACATGCAAGCAAATCAGTTGAAAACCACCACTTTTCCCCTGCTCACACGATCATCATCAACGCGGCATTTCTCAAAATATTTTGTGTAAACTTTGTTCAATTGTTGCGAATCGCGTGTAAACATTGAATGAACTTGCTGCCCCGCATTATCGCGATGGGCCAAGAGATATTTGTTTGAGTCTTAGGGCCCAGATACAGTTATCTCAGATCCTGAGATCGCTGTGTGTGTGAGGCCATATCTTCTGCATATCTCCATCTGTCGGATAAATGTGCGAAATCGGGCCCAGACCACAAGGAAGGCTAATGAGCGCAATGACTTGGCCCGACTCGAAGATTGGCCAGTGTAAACAAAAGGGGTATGCCAGTTCTAAGGGGTGATATGTAGAATGCACCGGGAGAAAGGGCAATTAGTGGGTTCTCACTGTTTCACATTAATATGGGAGTTCCCTAGTTCCTGAAGTGGGATTTAGATAGAATTTTAATACGACTTTTACAATATATGATGTAAGAACCTAATCAGCTCTTCAACTGATAGATCATTTAATATTGTAATCTCAGAGTCGAAATATTAAATTACTTCGAAGCTGAATTAACATCACTTTCACAATGTTTTATGTGTTTCACTCACCAATTTTTTTTATTTGATGGTATACTTTTTCTCATTTGTGGGAGTAGCCAACTAAAATTGAGGTTACATTGGAAAACGATGAAGAGTTCTTTCAACTTTGCTTTCCTCCTCCACCTGCTTTATCTTTTCCATCAGTGGAGATGTGAAAACGCCCACTACAACGCCCTCTATACGGAACACTGGGTCCCCCACTCCATTTTCCATTTTCCACCCCACCCACACACGACTGACAAAATCTGAGCTCTCAATTCCACAAATCTGATAGTTCCCCACCCTCTGTCCAATATTTCTCAGTGTGTCTCTGCTCTCGTTGAAGATCTTTATCGCCGCTGCTTATTGTCGTTTGTTTATCCCAAAGAGCTTTTCTGTGGGCGTTGCAGTTTTCATCTTTTCCCCACCGATTTCCCCCGGGTTTTCCCCACACTTCGATGTGGTTCATTGACTAGACTTGTCGCTGTCATCAGGCGTCTGTCGGTCTACACAGAGAAATAAGTACTTTGACTCCAAAACTTCCACATATCAGGCTGAAAAATATATAATTTTTGGTATAAGATACATAATATAAAAAAAATATTTAAAAACCTTTGAATTTTATTTAAATACTTTCGATATATAGCCTTTTTTCAAGTTTTAAAGGATGTTTTCAATACCCAGCACCATTATTTCCATTAAATTTTAAATTTCCATTAATACAAATGGTATTTTCCTAGGTGTATCTTTGTAATTCCCATCAATTACAGCGCGAGGGGCGAAAACGATCCACTAGAATTATTAGATAGGTTGTTGGGTGTCAAACACTTGAGCATTTATCGTTTGATCGGAATCGCTGGCAAATGGCCTGGGAAATGATTTTCCTTTGCACCCGCCACACGATCTCGATCGGCATTATGACAGACCATTTAACACTTGGCGACACATCAATTTCAATCTCGGTCGCTCACTCATTCGCCTTATCTTGCTTTCCCCCCATATTTTCGCCCATCTCAATTTCATTTCAATTAAGTTCAATTCGAGTTCTGTTGCAGAATGCAGCTCACTTTTTATGTTCTTCAGTTTGTTTTATACCCTATACGAAAGGGTAAGAAAGTTTCGATTATAGGTTGGAATCAATGTAAGAGAACTCATTTGGAAATTCCCACCTTAATAAAATATGTCTGTATTTCTTAAGGTTATCTTGATTAAACTTGTATTGTTTATGATCTTAATAAGAACATTTTTTGATATTTTAAGAAATATTATTTAAGTTTCAATATAAAATTCTTTAAATAATATAATTTTATGTATAATAATAATATATGTAAGAAATACAACTTGTTTTCAGAGTATTGGCGATTTCGGTGCCCCGGCTAGCCCTTCAATCTTGTTATATTTTCTTGGAGCTCTACGCATCTTGTTCCTCTTCTTGCCAGAGTTCGAGTGGCTTGTTGAACGCACGAGTGCCCAGACTGAGAAATAGGAATATGGGTAGGGGTCTTCGGGGCCTTTGGGGGCTTGAAGTGACTCTCGATGCAGCCATCGAACGTGCATCGGCATTGGGTTTCGTCTCCGCTTACTTTTCTGCTTTTCCTGCCCAGTCTCAAAGGCATTTGGGTAGGTAAACAAAAGCCAAAGGGACAGGAACCATAGTAGAACTTGCTCAAATATAACGAATATTTCTTGTATTAATTAAAAACGAAGCACAGAAATAGCTAGGACTTTCATATCACTAATTAATGTGTTTAAAAGTATGCAAAATTAAACTTAAAGCCACATTAAAATACATCGTTTTTTACAGCATAGTTCTAAACAGCTTAATAAATGGTTTCAAAACCCTATTGATTCTCTCTATATTATAATGCATATGTCCAAGCTAATAATATTTCAAATACGAAATTCTTGCCAGAATGCTGCCTGGCCAGGTTTCACTGTACAGCTGTCCACACATCCAAGGGCATTCGTTGGTGCCTTGTTGCAATGTTCCATAAATAGCCGCATCTCCACTCTTGGCATGCTGAAAACTTTCAAAACAATTGACGGCATTTGAAGTAGCTGCCCAGGTTTACCGCCTCCCATTTCCCCACCCATGTCAGTTCCCCCATCCTCTCCTCTGCCACCTTTTGCCTGCATTTCAAGTGAATTTCTCGCATTCAGAGAACCATTTTCAATCCGTTCGATTTTCTCCGCCATTCAATTTCGAAATTCCTGTTTCCACACAGAAAATTGTTTATCTTTGATGATCTCGAACCGAAAGCCACACAATTGCTCTATAAATTCTACCCTTTGATGGGGGGAGAAGATCTCTCGATGCACAGATTAGCTCGAAATACTAAAAATTCTGATTTCATCAAAGAAAATCATATAAAAATAATATTGAAAGCTTTGTATAGTGTTTTGTAGAGGATTATTTCAATCAAATTTAAACTCAAAACCATTTTTGATTGATTGAAAACTTGATATAATTACGCTAGATTTTAATAGACTAGTCGATAATTTTTATACAAAGTTTCTATGAAGAAATTATAAAAATAAGTGTAAGTCTAAAGGTAAATCTTAAAATCTATTGCTTCGCCCGCAGTTGTTAATGGAATGTCGGTGTCAGTCTGAGACTTTGATCTTTGAAATGGATCTGTCCGCGTTTGACATCCCACCACTTTTGGGTTTATTCCCGCCGAAATGCACCCTGCTTGATTTACGCATTCTATTTATAATACGTGTATAACCGAAAACGTTAAAATCTATGCCATTGCAGCGCCTCTACCCCCCGACACTTAACCCCTTTTTGGAGAATGGGCATTTGACAGCTTTATGCACTGATTTCCCTAATTGCCATGAAAATTCCACTCCCACTGTGCACAATGTACAGATTAGGGCAAGTAAATAGGTCTGAAAGTTGAACAGATAAACTGGTTACTATGCCTTGGCTTGATAAACCTTTAAAAATACTTTTATATTTAAGTATATTATCTAAATTTAGAGTTCTATCTTTTTAAGAAAAACTTTTCTCTTTTAAATTCAGATTGATACAAATATTTGAATGCATCTTTGTATATTTAGTAGAATCAATTTCTGAAATACTGTTTTATAAATCCCATTTAAATAACAAACAATTATAAAAAATTATTATTCTAGTGCTTATATTTTGCCCGCTGCTGTAGAACTGCATGCTGACGCCCCCGCATTTGAACAATGCATGGAAAACATATAGGAGAACATATAGTAGACATCGAGAAAAGGGAACGACAACCACAATAGCGGCAAGGGAGACAAACATATGTACATATTCATTTGCCATAACAATGAAGTTGGCTCTTAATGAGTTTTTAAACGCTAAGCTGCAGCATTTTTAATTGGAACTAACGAATGAAAGCCTAAAAAATGGGAACTGCGACTTGGAAGTGAATGCGAAAGGAAAGGCGCATTGGAAATGGATGACTAAACTTAGACAATCGATGAGCGTGATTTTTTCCTGATGCATCAACTAATTGAACACCATTTGGGGAGAGCTGTATCTACGGCTAACAATACAGTAAACTCCCAGAGAATAAACTTGGGATTGTATAAATTAAAATTAATATTTAGCATTACTCATTAAATGTGCATATCCAAATATTTCACAGTTAATTATTATTAATAGAAGTAGCCTTATTTAAATTTACATATTTTTAAAAGCAACAAACTTATTAAAATGTAATTGAATAATTATACCCAATAAAATATTTTACAATCCAATTAAAAAACTCTTTAATGTACATTTATTATAATTTACGAGCACTGTAGAATCAAGCAACTCAATAAAACACCACTTAAGGTGAGCTCAGTATAATATTTATAAATACCATTAGCACTCTCTAAGTTTTGTTTATCTTATCACGTTTGATTCTAGGTCTATGACTGTATACATGGGTTCGCCGATGACTATACTAATAATACAAACAGAGAAAAGTTATTTCTCAGTATTATCGGAATACAAACAGATTACAAATTTAAATTGAACTCATAAAAGTAAGGCATTGGATATGAATATTCCGAAATTGGTATCTATAGTAATATAATATAATAATATTTATTAGTATTTTACTCATTTTTTTCTAGTTACAGTAGGAAATATTTGTATTATGTGTGTATATCTTATATTAAGCTTAAGGTCACGTACCTATACCTAAATTTAAGTTCGCCTGTAAATTTTACATTATAGTCGAGCATTTTATAATAATAATAATATCCATTTTTTAAAATCCTAAGACCCCAAGAAAGTGAACATTTTCTTACTGTGCTGTGCGATATTATAGAATCCAATGGGCCAGTGGTTCGGCGGGGCTAAGACCTCCCCCGATATCGGCGACACAAATGCTCATCGGGCACTAACGACATGTCAACCAGGAGAACCGTTAGCTGCGGTCACGTTGCCACCAAGTTAAGGCCAATGCCAAATGGCCAAATGGCCAAGACCAAAAGACCCAAGGCCCAAGGCCCAGACCGATCTCCAGTTGGGATTGGGATTCGATTGGGTGCGGCCAACTGCGAACTACACAAAACTTGGAGAGGGTAAAAAATAAAAACACTGTCTACGCCTACCAAAAACGGCGTTTGCAACAACAGCAACAACAACCAGCAACTCCCCGACCAAAAGCAAAAGCCAAGAAACATGAAAAAAAAACCAAGGCGAAAGCGAAGCCAAAACAAAAACGAAGCGGGCAAAAATGGAAAGGAAGCCGCCGTCGACTTTCCAAGACATCGGAAAATGGGAAAATAGTTGGCCAGCCAATTTTCTTGTCGGCGGAAAAGCAGCGGAGTGCGCCACGTAATGGGGAAGCCAATCGAGATCCCAGATCCCAGATACCGAATACCGAATACCAAAGACCAGAGACCAGATAAGATCGATCCAGCCGAGGGCAATTGGCCCGCAGAGAACCCACATACACTCGAACTCAAAATATGGAGCTTTGCACTCAATACAAACATTTGCATAATACACTCAGCAAATGAGTTACCTGGAAATTTAGGAATTCCCTTTTGCTTTGGACGCAATAAAGAAATTTTTACATTTTAGAACACATTTCCTTAAATTCATCATTTCTGAAATACAAATACTACAAATATAATTTTGAATTTCGGGCATAAATATTGTTTCAGTGTTTGGCGATAAGTCTTACTATCTTATTATGTTTACATAATTGTTCTATATTATTTTTAATTTTAGCGACGAATTGGTTTTTAACTCCCATAATTTTTCTCATTTTAAACGACAATTTTTCATATTCTCAAAATAGTTACATGCGTATGTACATATATTGGAAAGTATATTATAATATAATAACATAATATTAATTTTAATTCAAACGAAATTGAGGGGGAAATACCGAGTTCTTGGGAACCATTAATTTCGTGGAATTTATGACGCAAAAACCATGTGGACAACATCTTATCTAGTTTAGTTGTAACTTAACGAAACCTTTATCTTCAAGGGTCATTCCTGGTAACTACTTTTTCGATAACATAAGCTTTGTTGGTTTATTTAGTAATGCAAAAGTAAAAATAAAACTAAATAAAATAAAGACCCTTAAAATATATAGTGTTTAGTCCCTTTAAAAAACTCTATTTCGATTTTGAAGAACTGCAAATAGGTTGAACCCTCTGTAAGCAGTTCGATCAACCCCTTAACCCCTTTTAGGAAAAGGGTTTTCGCACCCTTGAAAAGGGATTTGTACTCACGTTTGGGGTAAATGGGTGGACGACATTTAACCGTCTCGCTGTTGTTGTTGTTATTGTTGTTGATGATGCTGCTGTTGCTGCCGTTGATGCTGCTGATGGCACTGGCCACGCCCCCAGCCACTGAACCGCCCATCAGGGGCGGCTGGCTGAGGGGGAGTGGCGGGGGCGGCGGCTGGTGCTTCATGGTCGTCGAGGGGGGCACATTGCCGCCCCCGAAGAGGCGACGCTGCGGTAGAAACGCCGTTTTGTTGCCTGTGTGTTGCAAGTTGCAGGTTGCACAATCTGTTGGTGTTGTTGGTGCTGAAGTTGTTGAAGGTTGCTACTGCTGCCACATTAAATTTACACTATCTATTCACACTGCACCTGGAGGGTTAAATTCAATCCAAATATTAAATATAAAAAAAAATTTCCTATACTTTTTAAGGGTTCAATTACTGTTGTAGTAGCTTTTATTTTTTTAATTATTACTTCACTGAGTCTATCTGTAAATATATTTTTAGCGCGTTTTATTTATAAGTTTTAAAAACATTTTTTTAATATATTTTTTTGCTGCTTAAAAAAATATCCCTCCCCTTTGTTTTTCTTATAATGATAGTTTGCATATTTGCCAGCATAAGGGTTAAGATTAACAGTAACCTACGCACACAAGCTTATCTAGTGCTTATCTCACGCGAAAAGGTGCGAGTGGGAGGGAGAGGGGCTAACTGCAGTATTGACTTTTTACGGTTTCTGCATATGCATACATATGTACATATGCACATACAAACATAAAGTGCATTTGCTATTTGAAAAAAAAATTGCATACTCAATGGGTGGAAAACTAACGGTGCAGCTGCTTCACCTTGACCTACACAGCCACAAATACAAGTGAGATGCACGTCACACACACACACACACGCACACACTGGGGTAAATCACCACGGTCGCACACACAAAAAAATAATAATAATAAAAAAAAAGCTCACGCACTTTGTTATTAACTATTTCCGTTCTTGTTTTGGTTTTACGTATTTTAAGCGCAACTTCCGAAAATTGCACAAAACTAGGAAATATTTCAAGCGAAATTGATCTGAAATCAGTAAATAAGTCCTTTACAAGAACCGCAAGTATGAATCCTCGGCAATATATATATTTATGTTTTTTTAATCGTAAACAACGGAGCGCGCGTTGTTTATTTCCCAAAAACTGAAAAACGTCTGTTCGGATGGCAACAAAAACAACAACCACCGCTTTTAGTGTTGCCTGATAGCGCAAGCGAAATTGCACTAAAAAATCCAGACTTTTGCAAAAGTTCGCGCCAATGAGGGAAGTTTTGGTATTTTTCAAAAAACAAAGTGGAGTCTTTAGTTTTAATGAATCTGAGGAGTAACGATATATGTATGGTAAAATCAAATGGTAAGTGTACAATTTAATCACTAATAGATCAATTAACTATACCCTTCTAGTGATTCTAGTCCAGAACATATCCTCTTTAAACTTTCCAAAAAATACAAGACACCCAATGTTTTGGCTTGGTTTATTTCATTCCGATTTCATCTTCTTCAGCGACAACATCCAATTCAAAAAACGTCTTTAAGAAATAGAAACAATATTTTAAGGTAGATAAGTATACAGGCGAACGAAACTGGTCTCAGATTTCCTGCACTTGGGGCACAGTTTAGATGGCCCCATTGCACGGGTCAGGCATTCCTTGCAAAAGACGTGTCCACACTTGGTGCCCACCGGCTCCTTGACCACGTCAAGACAAACCGGGCATATGATGGGGTCCTTGTTCCTATCGACTAGTTGCTTGATGACGGGATCTTCGGTCAAGTCAACGATGGCCTCGGGCTCAATTCCGTCGGCTGCTCGGCGTGTGCCCTCCCTTTTAATGGGCTTTCCGCCTACAAGACTTCGCAAGGAATGAAACATTTCTTTACGTTTATTATTATTTACTGCTCCGTAATCTCAAACACGCTGTTCGTATATAAACGTACAATTCTGACGTAGGACTCAGGGGTAACTGAATTTTCTTGAACTGAGAAAGATTTTCCTGTGCTCAGGGTGAGTTGCCCAAATTTAAAGTTTTTTTTTTAATGAAGGGAGCATTTTCTATTTTTAAGGGCGAATTAACCTAAGAAATAAAGCATAAAGATTCACAAAACTGGGACTCTTTTTACTTAAACAAATTTGTTTAATTAAAAAAAGGGGATTACTTAAGAATCTTTATATTTCCAGAGAAATGTTTGCCCCGCTTCGGACTATGAGACACATAGGGCTTACCAAAGCGCACATAACACTCAAAAGCCCCTTTGCCAGATAGATAAAGTGTAGTGCGAAATTCAAAAATAAATAATTCATATTGTTCTTTTAATTGACTTTTCCGTTAACATAGGGGTGTCAAGGAAATGCGTTCATTTAATGTTGAAGATTGTATGGCGTTCATTATGAATGATAGGCCATGAACTTGTCGCACCTTTTACACCCAGTGCTCGGTAATGAAACGATGCGCTGCAGATCCATCCAGATAGTCATGGTGCTCCGCGGGGGAGAGGGGCTCTTCCTGGGCGAAGGAGGAGCAGATCCATCGAAGACCATTCCCGGAATCGGAGGGACGTCCCACTCGGAGTCGGAGTATTTCTTCCGCTTCGGAACGAATCTGCATCGGCCATGTTGCGATGAGGCGCGGAACGGGACAAGCCACGGCTGGTGGAAGGACCCATCTGAAGGGGCTCCACTTCGTCCACTTCGTCCTCCGAGGTATCCTGCAAGGCGCGCCTTGGGGAATTCTGCGGTGTTGGGTTTCCAGACATATTCGTCTAGTCTGCGACTGCTCTGTCTGATTGCAAATTAATGACTAGTCAACTTTTATCTGTGAACTGTCAACTCCGATATAAATCAATATACGATATATATTCAAAAGAAAGGGTTTCCATAGTGTTACAACACTTCATCAAGTGTTGGAAAATAGTAAATTAAGTTAGCTATATATTTATTCAGCGATATTTTATGCCTGCAATTCTTAAAATATATATTCAATCTAAACCTTAGTTAGGCTTAAAATCATTGTACATCAATATGTGTGTAATGTAATGCCATATTTTCTCAGGAATGTAAATCAAACTCGGTTTTTAATTTGCAATATTTCTTTAGGTATTATAGATTTTATAATACATTCCAACTGTATTTACGATAACCATTTTAACCCAACTAATATTAAGATTAGATATAGATTTAAATTAAATAATTGTAGCCAGAGGCTAGGCGATTGATAAATAAATAAGAAACTTGGTTATCTATTTTCCAATATTTGATAAAGAAAGTGTGGTATTACTGTTAGGGTGAATATCCTTTCTTTAAAAACGATACATATATCGGTTATGACAGTTCACAGATAAAAGTTGACTAGTCATTAATTTGCAATCAGACAGAGCAGTCGCAGACTAGACGAATTTGCCTGGAAACCCAACACCGCAGAATTCCCCAAGGCGCGCCTTGCAGGATACCTCGGAGGACGAAGTGGACGAAGTGGAGCCCCTTCAGATGGGTCCTTCCACCAGCCGTGGCTTGTCCCGTTCCGCGCCTCATCGCAACATGGCCGATGCAGATTCGTTCCGAAGCGGAAGAAATACTCCGACTCCGAGTGGGACGTCCCTCCGATTCCGGGAATGGTCTTCGATGGATCTGCTCCTCCTTCGCCCAGGAAGAGCCCCTCTCCCCCGCGGAGCACCATGACTATCTGGATGGATCTGCAGCGCATCGTTTCATTACCGAGCACTGGGTGTAAAAGGTGCGACAAGTTCATGGCCTATCATTCATAATGAACGCCATACAATCTTCTACATTAAATAAAGGCCTTTCCTTAACAACCCCATGTTAACGGAAAAGCCAATTAAAAGGAACAAAAATGTGATTTTTTTTTTTCGCACTACAATTTATCTATCTGTCAAATGGGCTTTCGGGTGTTATGCGCGCTTCGGTAAGCCCTATATGTCGCATGGTCCGAAGCGGTGCAAATAGGTTTTGACTGGCGTTTCTCTGGAAAAAAAATTGAATCTTAGGTAATTCCCTTTAACTTTAGTTTAATATTTAATTTTTTTTTATAAAAATTAATTCTGCGAAGCTTTAAGCGTTATTTTCAGATCTTAAAAACATTTTTAAGAGTAAAAACTTTCTTTTGATACTTTACAATTAAAAAAAAAATTGTTTTATAAAATAAAAAAACGATTCAATTACAAGAGAACCACGAATTTCCACGAAAACCATTTGTACCTAGTTTCTTAAGAAATTATAGGGAAACGCCCCGAAATCGTTCCTGATAAACTTTAAAGCAGATGTAAATAGTTGTTGGGCATAATATTATTTAAATTTATTTTTTATAGTTGGTAAGATATTGAATATATTTTTAAATTTGATTCCTGTGGTTAGAAGAGAGCATTTTTTCGAATGTTGTACGAAGGTTTGAAAGTGTAACGGGTAAATAAAGTATTTTCACTGGTAAGCTTGACTTCAATTTGAGTTAAAAGCAAGTAAGAATATTTTTCCTAAATGGATTTAAGAAGATTGAAATTGAAAACAAAAAAAAAACACATTTAAATCAGGTAACAACTGGAATAAATGGTTCAAAATATCGAAAAACGCTTGCAGACGTTGCCAGATGGATTTTTTGATTTGCTTGCTTGCAGAAGCTCTCTGCTGCAAAAATGCGGCGGGCACTTGAATTTTCTTGGCTGACGAAAGCAGGTTGCCATGAAAGAAACCATTTGAAATGAGTTTTTGGGATAAAAGGCTTTTAAAACACCCAAACCAAGGACAATAAATATGAAAAATCAGTTTTAAATCAAAAAAGTATTATAGTTTCCGTTTTTCAAGGGATAACATAGGAACATAAAACCTGAAAAGCCAAGTGGAGGTCGTAAGATGGGCAGCTGGATTTCTGATTTCTTGCCTCCATCGCACACGCACAACGCGCCACAAACTTAGTCGAACTTTAACGGCGCTGGCAATCGGACGCGTTTTCAAAACTTGCTCTCTCTCCGGTTTCATTCTGGTTATTTTTTTTGAAATTGTTGGCTCTTGGCCTGGGAAAGTGTAAGCACCCAAAAAAGAAGAACCGTGTGTCTTCCTTTGATTTGTCAACCCCGTGTTTAAACGCTATTTATTATTTAATTTTTAGTGCTAATTTGGGCAAACGCGTAGGCCCAAAGAGAAACTACCCATTAACAAAAAAAAAAAAGAATTTGTTTGTATTTTTTGTTTGTGTGTGCTCGAAATTGAAGCCCGGCAACGGCAGCCGCCTGAAACAATGAAAGTTGATTGAATATTTTATGCAAATTTCCCATTGCAGAAGAAGGTGCGAAAAACAAAGAGAAGAACTGCAAGAATAATAGAAATTGCTGTCGGTGCTGAAAACAGGAAATCCAGAGGCGAGAAATCAGGTGAATGTGAATACCAAATACTGGCTGCCATTCGTGGGAAAGTTTAAGATCAAGGCCAGGCCTTGGGTGGATGGGCCTGGCTTTGTGGGTGGTGCAGGGTGGCCTTGCTGCCAGTTGCCAGTTGCCACTGCCAAGGTGAAGGTCACGTTGCAGGCGAATGTCGGCGGGCCTGCACTCACATTGTTGTTATATAAACACCCCACACCCCATGCCCCGCTCTCCACACCCCCGAAATCCTTGGCAAATGGCTCACTAACCCACTGCGCATGTCGCCTCCTTCGAAGGCCATCGCCTGACCTCCGGTTCCGCCACGCCCTCTGCCCCCCGCCTCCTTTTTCGCACAGCAGGGGGTATGACTATAGTGGGGTTAAAAAATAGTCTGGGGAACCACATGAATATTTTCCAAAGGGAGTGTAAAAGCATCTTGTTCCAGGATTTGGCATTGATTTTATTTTAACTGTCGCAATTACGTGAAGATTTTATTTTTTTGTTAGTGGAAAATCATATTCTTTAATCTGCAGTTTAGCTGCATTGTAGGTTTAAATTAAAAAATAAATATAGTTTAGAAAATTGAAAAACGAGCTCATGTTATAGATGCTTGTGCATAAACATTGTTGAGACAAAAACTTAAAACTTTTTAAAAGATTGTTTTTGCACTTAAATTCTATTCTATTGGTCGTCTATTTTTATTGAACTCGTCGTTATTTGATTTCAAAAAATTCTAACTCCTATCTTTAGAAGCTAAAAATTCGTTTTTAATCTTCCAACATCTTCATTATAAATCTATTATAAAAATGTTTGATTTTGAATGCAACCATTAAATTAAAATATTAAAAATTAATCAATTAAATTAATAATTCCATGTTTTTTAAGTTGTATGTTAATATAAAATCCTTAAATAATAAGTATAACAAAGAACTTAATATACATTGAGAAATTTTTTCTAGGCTTCACTTTAAATATTTACAATCTTTTAAGGTTGCAATGAATAAATAAATTTTTTAACCATTAAAAGGGCCTTTGAAACTAGATTTTTTTATCAACATTGAAAATTTGTCTACTACTTTTTTGGCCATGGGTGTGCCCCCCTTTTGGCAGGCTCTTAGCATTGAACTTGACAGTGGCGTAGCGCCTTTAACCAGTGGCTGCCCACTTTCAGCTAACAAGGTTAGTGGGTTAACTGGCCTGCTCCACACAACACTCTTCTGTCTTCTGTGCTCAGTCTTCTGTCTCCAGTCTTCTGTCTTCGGTCTTCGGTCGCCAGTCTCCAAAGAGACTCCAGTCTTTCTCCGGGCCCGGATTCGGGCAAACCCGTTACCATTAACCCGCCGATCGGCTTTGGCATTGCTCTGACCATTAAAAGCCACTTACACTCGCTCGCCCGCTGGCTTTCCATGCTAATCAAAATTGAAGCCCAAAATAAGAAGAAATTTGTTTGCCGCGACATGTCTCGACTTTTGAATTTGAGTTGTGGAACTGGCCAGTGCAAGTTGGTAATGCGGACTGGATGGCTTCTTGGAACTGGCACAGCCGTGGACCGGGTGAAACTGAGCCACTCCAGTGGGGCGGAGATGATAAACGCAGCGATTTCTTATCAGGTTTGAACCACACTCAGCTAAATTACCCATCTTCTCTGCGTTAGTCAATTTTATTTGGTGGTTAACCAGAGTTAGGAGTTGCATAACTTTTTTTAATCAATTTTATCTAATAGACTCGTTGTTAAATACCAGTATCTTTAAATGGATCTATTTATAACTGTTAAACTTTTTTATTAATTATCACTATATGTTTATTTTTAACGCAATAGGACTTTATCCTCCATCCCTATGAAAAAACATGTATTTATTTACTTTTCCAAAAATATAGAAAACATGTGATTTTTGAAATATAAGTTATATATATTATTTTATATTTATATAATTTATTTTATATATATTATTTTTAGTTGAGACAGGCTTTGCTTGCATTTTAATAACTGATATTTGCTAAATTAAATTATATTATTATGATTTTCTTACAGTGTAATAAAAATATAAAGAAATGCAAGACTAATTGCGAAGCAGTTAAATTAATGATTAGTTTGTTTATGGGATCATCGGTTCCCAAACGAGTTGTAGCTTAGACAAAACACCTGTAAACGGTTTGGGTGAAAATAGTTGTTTTTGGAAGTATGAGGAAAATCATATTAATAAATGATAAAGTACATTGCAATACGCTTTCGTGTACATTAAATTAATATAAATCAAAGAATTAAATATTTGTAACTTCAAACTAGAAAGCAGATATAACATTCTTATTCTGTGTGTTCTCATCCTGTGTTTCTTATTGTTAAATTTAAAAGTAGCTTTTGATCTCCTACAAAATTTTATACTTAGCCTGAATTTAAGTTCAGCTTACATTTTACACGTTCTGTTAAAAATCAGTCAACATTTTCGTTGCAATGTATTTTTTTTTGGTTACAATTCAACCCAATGAGCTTTAAATATTCAGGTATTTGGAAGCCAAGCCCATGAATCACCGCCAAGATCGTAGATCACGGAGTTCAGTTCTTCAGTCTCAAGGGGTTCGATGACCTGGGCCGTGAATTGCATTTCGAGCCGCATTTTGACTGACAGACTGAGCGATTGAGCAATTGACGGACTGAGCGATTGACAGCCTGCGATTGGCTGGACAAACTGAAGAAACGTGCCAGTTTAAAGCACAAAAATCCATCGAGGCACGCCACGATCCCCAGCCATCCGATAATTGCTCCAAAAAGAAACTAAAAAAGAAAAACACTGGAAAATTGAAACTCTCGAAACTGAAAAATAAATAAAAAGTGCGAGACCAGTTAAATGAAAAGCAAAACAAAGTCATTAAACGCTGGAAACTGAAAACCGAAAAAAAGCGGAAAATTACCGAGCAATAATAGAAAAAGTTAGGCGGTCTGTTTGGAGTTTCGAGTTGGGAGCTGCTTTTCATTTTTCACTTTCACTGCTTTGCCGGGGGGAGGAAAAGCGGGGAAAAGTTGCGCTCTGATAAATTGCCAAGTGGCTAGAAAGAGAAGCCACCAAGCGGGTTCTAAAAAGCGGTCACAATCCGCTGCCTCGCAAATGAGTCATGTAGAGATGACCCCAAAAAACCCTAAAAATAGGGAGGATGGGTGACTTCCTCGCAGGGAGCAAAAGCGGAACAAGATCATTATGTCGGCTACCTCTTGTGTGATTTTTACTGAATGACTGAAGCCACACAAGTGCTAGAATATATGACATCGATGAACAAGTTACACATAGAACCTGATTATCATAATAACTCATTTTCAAAATAACTCATTTAAAGATAAACAAAATAATCACTGTAAAGCCCATATGACACTTGCTTGATTTTTGACTAACTGTCTGGATTTGTTTTAGAGAAAAAAGGGTCTAGAGCCTTACAAAAGTTAATGAATTTCTGTAATAAATAAATAAATTAATAATAAATTAAATAAAAAAATAAGCAAGTGTCATAGGGCGTTAATTTATTAAAAGGAAAACTATTTGGTATTTTAATATGAAACCATGTACACAGAGAAAATTCTGACGTCCTCATCTGAGTTGAAAATGTTCTTAAAAGTAAAACGACATTTTTGAAGTTAAAAATTGTTCAATTTTGCTCGAATCAAGTCGAATTCGAGGTATTTACATTGTATATCTCAACACATAAACTATTAGTCTAGTCAGTACTTATCAAAAAGTTGTTAGGTAAACTCAGTTTAACGTTTCTCTTCCCACCATTTCGTTCTAATATTGAGAACATTGATACCAAAATGTACTTACACGGTTTTTAAGAACGAATGTTCTTAATTCAAGAACAATGTACTTGAATATATCTCTCTGTGTAGTTTCAAGAACTTTTTTATGTGCTGGTTTTTTTAATTTATTGCCATAGGTATGTGCTCGATATAATATAGTATTCCCTACGCTACAAATATTAATTTGAATCGTAAACAATATAAGGTATATATATAAAAAAATATTTTTTTAAATTTTGAAATAGCCAGAATAAGGAATAAATTCCAATAGTCCGATTTGCCCAGCCAATTTCACATTTTTTCGATCTACAAACTGGCCTTTTCCCTGATCCAAGACCTCAGCTTGGAGACCCTTTCGTAGCCATCCGGAGCATTGCGTCCGCATCCGCCGATCACGAAACTGGCCAATCCGACCAGCTTTCCCCCGTAGGTGGCCGGTCCGCCGGAGTCACCGTAGCAGGCGCCCTTGTTGCTCGGGTGCATCAGGCACATCGTGGTCTCCGGCAACTGCCGGAGGTACTGCCGCTGGCAGGTTTCCCGTGACAGGGCCTTCACCTGCACGTACAGCAGGGAGTTGGAGATCGGCCCCTTCTGGGAGATGTATCCCCAGCCGGAGATGTCCACGGTGGCATCGGTGGGCGGATCATCGGTGGCCAGTTCGATGGCGGCTATGTTGGAGCCAAGGTTCAGCGATTGCTTCAGGCGGAGCACGGCCACATCGTAGCCATTGCCCTTGTAATTCGGATGCACTGTGACGGTGGCCACCGGGATTACAACTCCTCCGCTCGAAAGGAGCAGGCTGCCCGCTTGGATAGACAGCTGGTCGGCCGGAGCTCTTCAGACAAACAAACAAATTTAGTACGCGAATTCTTTAGGTCCCGGAATACCTACACATTGCTCCCTTGCTTCACGCAATGTGCAGCGGTGACGATGTAGTTTTCCGATAATATGGAGCCACCGCAGGTGTGACCTCCTCGGCGGCGCAGGGAGATCTGGTGGGGAAATTGACCCTCCTTCGCCCGGGTTCCGCCCACAATACGGGGTTCCACTACGGAGTCGTTACTTTTGCTCTGAACCTGTCCCAAGGATCCAGCTGCACAGAGCAGAAATATAAAAGTCCAGAAAGGTAACATGTCTGGATGGGTAAGCTTCCTAAAAAAGTGTACTTACTCAGAGATTTCGCTGGCTTATATATCACCCAAAGTCAAGGCGCTCATCATCATTAGTT